GATACCTGAATATCAAAAAAAAAATAAAAATTAATTGTTGTATCTAACTTACGTTTTGATTAAATTTTTGTAGTTGAACCAAACGGGGACTTTGTAAATGGATGGTCATTAAATATCAAAATATAAATATAACTCTCCTAGAAACTGGGATAAAAAAAAAACAGAAAAAAAAAATATCCAGAAACCCACGAAGAATCCAACGGTTGAGGAACTGCCATCGCGGAAACTCGGAGCTGCCATTACCCAATACTTGGGAATGTAACGCACCCCATTACAACCCCACCCCCCACGGCAACGAACCCTACTCCAGTTAAATTCAACCCCAGTTCTTTTCTCTTTACATATGCACCCTTCTTTCTTCTTTCCAAACCTAATTATTATTCTCTCTCTGTGTTTACTCCCTTTCTCTAGGACAGATTCTTGTATATCTCCCCCATTTTCTCTTCATTTTCACCCTAAACGAAAAGTTTTGATCTATTGAGAAAAAGAGATGAGTTGCAATGGATGCCGAGTTCTTCGAAAAGGATGCAGTGAGAATTGCATTCTTCGGCCTTGTTTACAATGGATTGAAAGTTCTATAGCCCAAGGTTATGCCACTGTCTTTGTAGCCAAGTTCTTTGGCCGTGCGGGTCTCATGTCCTTCGTTTCCGCAGTCCCAGATAACCAGAGACCTGGTAAATTTATGCAATTTTTTGATCTTCTTTTCATTGAAGATGAGGAAAAACTAAAATAATTATATATGTAAATGTGCAGCTGTTTTCCAGTCCTTGTTATACGAAGCTGCTGGAAGAACAGTGAACCCTGTACATGGCGCAGTTGGGCTATTATCAACCGGAAACTGGCATGTTTGCCAGGAGGCGGTGGAGACCGTCCTCCAAGGCGGCACATTGCGGCCGATCTCGCTTGATGATGTTTTGGAATGCACGGCCGACATCTACAAGCTCCAAAATCCTAGCCTAAATTCAAAGCACAAGGTACAAAAGCGCCGTCGTTTACCAGATGAACTTGGAAAATTAATGCAAGTAGCTGATCTTGATCTCAGTTTAACAAGTGGGTTTGAGTGGAAAAAGCCCAGCCCTTCAGCTGAGAAGCACGGACTAGGGAGCCCTTCAATGAAATCTGAAGAATCTCTGACCACTACGTGTGAATATCAGCTACCAGCTAAACCAAAGCTTCTTAATTTACTTACTTAGGTCAAGGAAATGAAGCTGTAAAATTCTTGTTATTAGGATAAGCTGAAATCCTTGTCCTTTTTTTTTTTTGTTTTAAATAGATATATATTTAGTTTGAAGGGTTTTCCCGGAATAGAATTCCGGCGAGTTTTTGTAAACCATTGGTAACAAGACTTTCCTATTTCTCTTCTTGATTATGAGTAGAAAGAAATGGAAAAATGAAAATCGGTAATTTCCTTAGATAAATAATCTTCTCTCTATTTCCTTTTCTTTATTTAATATTAATGTCTCTTGAATTTGAATAAATAATTTGATTTTAGCTTTCAGTTAATGTATTTTTATCATTTTTATTCTCGGCGATAAATTTTCAT